TAACTAACTAACTAATCAACTTTTTTCAGAGTACCTATCCATGTATGGATATCTGCTCTTTCATCTAAATTGGATAATATGTGGTGGAAGGGAAGGGAGGTGCTGCGTTAACATTAAGTTAAATCTCAGAATGAACAATAATTGATAAAATCAAGTCTGAGTCATACATAAAAATAAGTCGCAAGTTGATACATAATAAAGGGAACAAATTGAAGATAAAGATAAAGAAAGAATATTTACATTATTTACAAATTTACAAAAGGGGGAAGACTCCCTGTGCACTCTCTCGCCTCCCACCGGTATAGCCGGGCTTCATTGGTGCAGAGAACACAGTTTGTCTAGGAAAATAATATAAAATACTTCAGCTACTACTTATTATTTTTTTTCGTAAAATAAAACCATTTTTATTAATTTTTGTTTTTGAAGTTTCCTAAAGAATCCGCTAGGCAAAGATTGGTTAACATGGGAAACATATTTTGCTCCCATTTAACCTATTTATAAACGCTACAACAGCATATTGCCAGCAATATCTTAACGTTTATCTTTCTCACATAGGTAGATAAAAATTATAGTAAGAATATTTACTTGTCAGACATAAATCCATAAAGTGGTGTTCCAATAACATCACCGATGAAAACTAAACTAAGAACAAGACTGGCATAATGAGCATTTCCACATACCATATCCCACTGAAAAAAATTATTAAAAATATAGGAGATAAGTTACAAAAATAAACTTTATTTTTCTTTTTAAAAAAAGTAATCTTTATGATGCAAATGCTTAGTCTCCAGCATACGAAATTCGAGAGAAATAATTTTCTCACTGTTTGGGAACTGAAATCCAGCAGATTTTGTAAATTTTGTTTTCATATCTCCAGATTACGATCGTAGAGATACCAACGCTTCCCACTTTTTTTTTAAAAAAAAAAAAAAGATTTTCTAGTGGTAAAAAATTAACTTATTTTTAGTTTAGTATTTTTTTAAAATAATTGTTTTACCACTACAAGTCAAAAATTCAAAATATCAATGCAAATGCGACTTAAAATTAGATGCCTTCTTTAAATCATCATCTGCATATATATTAAACGCCTCCTGCAAGGTTTTTTTTATGGGTAGTCCGATCAGACCACTATGAAAGTAAACCAGTTTACGAAAGATAGTCATTTAACGGAAAATCTAGTAAAAATAAGAAAGTGGTAACAAATATATGTCTAAAAATTTGTTTAATTTATGATTATGATTGGTTCGTTTTATTTACTTGTCTACCACTACAGATTCAATTCTCAAATATATATGGTAAATTACTCTCAGTCTCTTTTTACAATAAAATTTGGGTTCATGCGCACAACAGGTTCACTTTTTAAAAAGTCTGCGCAGACTACCTATAAGAAACCGTGTGGAGGCTTTCTGATGTAGGAGGTGATGGGTGGGTCCACAGGCCGTGCGTCTATATTTCCATTGTTATAATTTTATTTTAATGTTTTTGCCGTTCAATTACTAGATTATATGCCAAGCAATGTCATTATATTATCTCCTTGTGTCATACCAGATCTGATCTTACATATTCTCATTCGATAAGTTTTATTTAAATGTTTGCAGAAATCAGAGCAATAATTTTTGAAGTCACATTCCACTATCACTTCAGGGATGCCAACTTGCTTCTCTTTGTAAAAAAAAGTATTTTCTAGTGGTAACGAAATTTAAGTAACTTTTTGTTAATTATTATCATGCTAAGTAATTTTTCCATCTCTACAAATTCAAAGTATCATATGAAATACAACCTTATTTAAGTTACATAGTGGTGATTCTTTTAAAAAGTAAGCGTAACTATCCTAATTCTACAAGTTTCACCATTTAATTCGCTACCAATCTATTAAAATTTTTGCAGAAACCGGAGCAGTTGGCCTCCCTGCCACTAGGGAAAAAATATTTTTTGAAAGAGCCAAAGTTTGCAAGCATGATATCATTTTAACAATAATTTAGACATTACGAGCTTCAAGCGAGTAATTTTTTACATTTCGTATCAGCTACAGTTAATAAAAGTTATTAAGCATTTCTAATAAGTTATTTATAAATTGAACCCTTCCAAGAAATACTTAAGATACGTTGTTGTGAGATGGAGATTTAAAATAATAATTGCGTTGTTGTTATGAAAAAATAATATCTAAATCCTATTTGAAGGAATTTATGACGCAAAAAATATGTCACCGTGACTTCTGTTTTATGTAATTGAAAATGTGTTTGAATTAACCGTTAAAGTACAGGAATAACATCTTTTCGAGTTGACAGCACATGTCAAGCAAATGTTTTTTTTTAAAAAAAGATTTAACACAGAGATTACTTCCTGCCTTTACTTTTATTTATTTACAAGTGTTAATTTCCACTTTTTTATTTACTTAATTTTATTAAAATATGTAAAAATAGCATTCATTATTTGTATTAAATTTAATCAGTCTTGTTATTTTTCAAACTTGTACTTAGAAAATACTATAGTTTATGAAGTAGCGTAAGTGCAATAATTTTTATTTAAAAAAAATTTTTAGAAACATTAAAATTTTTATTTCAAGCTTAGTTTATATACAAATTACAAAGTTGATGAGGTAACAGGGATGCTACAGTCGATTAAAAATGTAAAAAAAAAAAAAAAAAAAAAAATAGAAACTCAATTCATTTTTGTTAATTATCTCTTAAATTATTCGATTGCTTCTACCATTATGACTCAGTTTTTAAATTATGCATTTTTAAAAAATAATAATTACTTTTGCATTATGTTGTTAGTACATTGAAAATAAGGATGCAATAGTTGCTTATCTTTAGTCTCTTCATTTCATTAATATTTTTTGACTAAAGTGACAACTCAGAGATAACTAAAAATATGAAAACTTATGTCTAAGAACATTCAAAATTTTATTAACCACATCGAGACGGGCGAGTCATGCAAGCATTTCCAGGGTTGCCACAATCACGGTAAAAAGGATAAAACTGGTATTCTAACTATTTTTATTGCAGTTTATTTGTGGGCGGGGTAATAATAGTTTTCTTTATTAATATCACCAAGACTCAGTTCAAATTAAATATTATATAGTTACACTTTTTACCCCTTAACTTGTGCGCTCAAGTTAATTCGAGCCTGCTAAACAGGCCGAACTGTGCACACTCGAGCGGCGTTGTATTTTATGCTTCTATAATTTTTCACACTCGAATATAATCGAGAATTGAAAATGGCATTGTGAAGGCTAAGAAAAAAAAATCGTTTTATTGATATTTATCATTCACATAGGATTGTAAGCTATAACATTTATTTATTCAAGAATAAAATATACAGAGATGCCAACTTGCTCCGGACAGCAAATATATATTTTAAAGTGGTAGTTTATCAATTGTATTCTTTAATATTTTTACCTAGATCAAAAAAAAGTTGATTTATTATGATTTTGGACATCACCTCATCATACCTGCCAACTCTTCCGGAAGATTTTATTTTCATATTTAAAGTGGTAGTAATTATATACTATTTTTTCTTTTATAATCTTAATTTTTGAATGATATTGATCACCACTATTCCTACAAAAATTAAGCACATATATTAATATGCGTTACTGTCATGGTTGTCAACTTAAGTTTTCTCTAATACAACGTATTTGTTTGCTTAAAATTGAAGTTTTAATTCCATTTTAATACCACTGGGAAAAATAATAATGGACGGGACTAAAAGTTGGCAGGTATGCCACATATAATTAATTAAAATAAAAGTATAGCAGTCTTTACAATCTTCTTAAAAATAATAAATGCTTGTAAAGTTAAATTACAATTCTACTTGTAATTGTACATTTCATTGTTATTTCTCTACCACAGCGAAGAATCTTAATAAAAAGGAGTTAAAAGCAACAACTAAGCCATTTAACGGCAAATTTTTAAATTTTAATTCATTCGCATATTCTTTTCGAAATCAGAATTTGGTAGGCTCTATGAATTTATCTTTTAGAGACCTGGTAGAGTACAGTTCTCATACAGAAGGCATTTTTGTCCTATTTGCACAATTATTCTCAAGAACAAAATCAGTACAAAAGTATTCAAATGCAGCAACTAATTTGGGACAGTGGAAGTAATGTTTTATAGTGCGCTTAAGCTTTAGCATAACATAAAAAAATTTCCTGTCTGTAATTGTGATTTGGTTGGCTCTTCACTTGGTAAAGTCATCCACGGATAGAATAAAAGTAGGCAAATGCAGCAACTAATTTGGGACAGAGGAAGTAATGTTTTACAGTGCGCTTAAGCTTTAGCATAACATAAAAAATTTTCCTGTCTGTAATTGTAATTATGCTGTCACTTCACTTGGAAAAGTCATCCACGGATGGAATAAAAGTAGGCAAATGCAGCAACTAATTTGGGACAGAGGAAGTAATGTTTTACAGTGCGCTTAAGCTTTAGCATAACATAAAAAATTTTCCTGTCTGTAATTGTAATTATGCTGTCACTTCACTTGGAAAAGTCATCCACGGATGGAATAAAAGTAGGCAAATGCAGCAACTAATTTGGGACAGAGGAAGTAATGTTTTACAGTGCGCTTAAGCTTTAGCATAACATAAAAAATTTTCCTGTCTGTAATTGTAATTATGCTGTCACTTCACTTGGAAAAGTCATCCACGGATGGAATAAAAGTAGGCAAATGCAGCAACTAATTTGGGACAGAGGAAGTAATGTTTTACAGTGCGCTTAAGCTTTAGCATAACATAAAAAATTTTCCTGTCTGTAATTGTAATTATGCTGTCACTTCACTTGGAAAAGTCATCCACGGATGGAATAAAAGTAGGCAAATGCAGCAACTAATTTGGGACAGAGGAAGTAATGTTTTACAGTGCGCTTAAGCTTTAGCATAACATAAAAAATTTTCCTGTCTGTAATTGTAATTATGCTGTCACTTCACTTGGAAAAGTCATCCACGGATGGAATAAAAGTAGGCAAATGCAGCAACTAATTTGGGACAGAGGAAGTAATGTTTTACAGTGCGCTTAAGCTTTAGCATAACATAAAAAATTTTCCTGTCTGTAATTGTAATTATGCTGTCACTTCACTTGGAAAAGTCATCCACGGATGGAATAAAAGTAGGCAAATGCAGCAACTAATTTGGGACAGAGGAAGTAATGTTTTACAGTGCGCTTAAGCTTTAGCATAACATAAAAAATTTTCCTGTCTGTAATTGTAATTATGCTGTCACTTCACTTGGAAAAGTCATCCACGGATGGAATAAAAGTAGGCAAATGCAGCAACTAATTTGGGACAGAGGAAGTAATGTTTTACAGTGCGCTTAAGCTTTAGCATAACATAAAAAATTTTCCTGTCTGTAATTGTAATTATGCTGTCACTTCACTTGGAAAAGTCATCCACGGATGGAATAAAAGTAGGCAAATGCAGCAACTAATTTGGGACAGAGGAAGTAATGTTTTACAGTGCGCTTAAGCTTTAGCATAACATAAAAAATTTTCCTGTCTGTAATTGTAATTATGCTGTCACTTCACTTGGAAAAGTCATCCACGGATGGAATAAAAGTAGGCAAATGCAGCAACTAATTTGGGACAGAGGAAGTAATGTTTTACAGTGCGCTTAAGCTTTAGCATAACATAAAAAATTTTCCTGTCTGTAATTGTAATTATGCTGTCACTTCACTTGGAAAAGTCATCCACGGATGGAATAAAAGTAGGCAAATGCAGCAACTAATTTGGGACAGAGGAAGTAATGTTTTACAGTGCGCTTAAGCTTTAGCATAACATAAAAAATTTTCCTGTCTGTAATTGTAATTATGCTGTCACTTCACTTGGAAAAGTCATCCACGGATGGAATAAAAGTAGGCAAATGCAGCAACTAATTTGGGACAGAGGAAGTAATGTTTTACAGTGCGCTTAAGCTTTAGCATAACATAAAAAATTTTCCTGTCTGTAATTGTAATTATGCTGTCACTTCACTTGGAAAAGTCATCCACGGATGGAATAAAAGTAGGCAAATGCAGCAACTAATTTGGGACAGAGGAAGTAATGTTTTACAGTGCGCTTAAGCTTTAGCATAACATAAAAAATTTTCCTGTCTGTAATTGTAATTATGCTGTCACTTCACTTGGAAAAGTCATCCACGGATGGAATAAAAGTAGGCAAATGCAGCAACTAATTTGGGACAGAGGAAGTAATGTTTTACAGTGCGCTTAAGCTTTAGCATAACATAAAAAATTTTCCTGTCTGTAATTGTAATTATGCTGTCACTTCACTTGGAAAAGTCATCCACGGATGGAATAAAAGTAGGCAAATGCAGCAACTAATTTGGGACAGAGGAAGTAATGTTTTACAGTGCGCTTAAGCTTTAGCATAACATAAAAAATTTTCCTGTCTGTAATTGTAATTATGCTGTCACTTCACTTGGAAAAGTCATCCACGGATGGAATAAAAGTAGGCAAATGCAGCAACTAATTTGGGACAGTGGAAGTAATGTTTTATAGTGCGCTTAAGCTTTAGCATAACATAAAAAAATTTCCTGTCTGTAATTGTGATTTGGTTGGCTCTTCACTTGGTAAAGTCATCCACGGATAGAATAAAAGTAGGCAAATGCAGCAACTAATTTGGGACAGAGGAAGTAATATTCTACAGTGCGCTTAAGCTTTAGCATAACATAACAGATTTTACTGTCCGTAATTGTGATTTGGTTGGCACTTGAAAGAGTCATCCACGGATAGAATAAAAGTAGGCAGGTATCAAAGCTTAACCCCGTCCCGCCCCAGTCTGGAGGCATCCAGAGAATACTGTAGGCTCTAAATGCGCGTACGTGACCTCTCAGCAAAAGAAAAAGAGGGTTCAAATGGGTAGGCTTGGTGGCGATTCATGGCAACACCAGAAGGCCTCAAAGAATTTAGTGAAATCTTAAAATTAACAATAGTAGTTACTCAGAAAATAGAATTTAGGAGTTTGAGTGTTCAAACATAATAAGCGAGGCATCAATTAAAAAAAAAAAAAAAAACACTGAAAAAAGGTTACAAACATATTGTGATGATGAAAAGTACCAGAATTTGCTCAAAGTCCATGAAAACAGATGCAATTTAAAAAAGAAGAGTTACGGCGAGGCAGCCGTAAAGAAAAATCTCAAAAGGAAACTCAAAACATGAATAGTTAGTAAATTTGACAAAATTTTGAACAATAAATTAATCGATAATTAAGTAGGCAGGTATAACAAACTGTGTATGAAATGGTATAAAAATGTTCGTTTTCAGGGTTGTAAACAGCCCTGGATATGTGAAAATCTAATAAACCTTACCCGTGTCACAGATGTTGCGTCATAATCAGTAGTATCATATTGCCATCCTTGGTCGCATTTTTTGGTCGGCCAGTTCTGATCAACAGTAATGTTTCCAGTCCTTAGAATATATGAGTAATCTACATCATATCTCAAGCATTTACGATCACTTGGAGGTCTTATAAGATATTGTTGAGTTTCAAATGACAGATTTGAAGATGCTAATTCCGGGACATAGCACCAATGGTCTGGGGTGGATGAAATGAAGATGGAATTCATTGAGAACCATGGTACAACGATGAATGATGGTATGAGGAAGGCAAAGACTAAAATTTTCTGGTACATTCCGAATCCTCCCACATCTTTCAGAATGTCTTCGAAATCCATTTCTTTGGATAGGGATGGCGCACGTAGCAAATCCTAAAATGATAAAAAAAAAAGAAAGATTAGAAAGGTTAAGCTCATCGGAAGATAATCTTTGAGTGTAGTAATTTAAGCGGAAGAATACAGTAATATGAAAACTGAGCTAATTTAGATACAGTCGGACTTCGATTTAACGAATTTCCAGTTTGCGAATTTATCTATTTTGCGATTTTTTTCGAGGAACCAAACGTTTTTAGAAATTTCTTCGTAAAATAACTTCCAAATAGCGAAATGAATTTTCTATTTAACGAACTTTTCTTTGATATCCACTTTCCCTATTTCCCAAAATATATCGGAACATTTCAAAATTGTTAACACATTTTATGGGGGAAATGACCTTGAATTGATTTTGGATGTCAAACTTTTATAGAGAAAGCATCAAAGTACCTTTCCCTTTTTGTTTACATTTCAAAAGAAAAACTCAAACAAAATTAAAGAATTTTAACAGTAACAATTAAAGTTAAAAACACATGTGGTAATGTATGTTTATAATTACTTTTATAATAAAAGCATCTATAATTTTATACATAAATGTAGCTTTTTTTTAGTTGAAAATGTATATAGCATGATTGGGTAACGTTAGATAATGTTTTGCTCTATTCTTGCTTTCCATGCAGATTTCTTTTATAGTTAAAATTTATAAAATAAATTGTAGATACTAGTTTACAAGATAAAGGTGTATCAATTCCTATTTTAATTATGTCTAGTGTTCATTAATTTATAACTTGTTTTGTGTTGTTTAACTATTTCAAAAGGTAATTTTCTGTTTAACGAATTTTCCATATAACAAACTTTTTATCGGGATTTAGAGACTTCGTTAAATAGAGCTCCGACTGTACATTTGTTTTTAAACGATCTTCAGAACAATTCCGTACAGAGAGTAAAATAAAATTTAAAAAAAATGTACACTACAAATGTATATCCCAAATTATATGTTCCTTTTTTTATTCATTCACTACTTTACTTTCTTATCATTAATACTCTGAAATACGAGTACATGCATTCATTGATTTATATAATCACTTATTAATCTAATTACTTATTCTGAACCTTTTGTCCGTTATTTATATTCATTTAGAACAAAGTAGGTGAAAATTGTTTCTAATTTAGTCAACAAGGGATAATAAGCCAAGAAATAGACTTCATTTTCAACTTTTCCCCATTTTTTTGAGAGAAAAATAAAAAAAAAATTTTTTTGATGTGACAAAGTGTTATCTACTCTGTTTGATTATCACAACTATGTCAACTATATTATATTTGGCATTTTAATACTTTATGGTTATCAAATATAGCAAGAAACACCGGTGACCACATTTTTCTGCCTTAAATAAGAATTTTTGATCGAATGATCAGATTTTCAGGCACTAGGACGGTTCTTATTGGTACGAGGGCCTAATTTTAAATATGGTAATTAATTGGTGCATACGGAATTCAATCAGACTCAGGAACTTAATTCCTCTGAATAAACGTGTTATTTTTCGACGAATTTGGATTTCTGATCCTTAAAATATTGTAAAGAGCCGCAGTCAGAAAAATATGGTTTTAATAGTAGACCATAAGAAGGAAAGTGAACCCCGATGTTAATTTTACTTTGGCAAATTTCGCTGTGTTTCGATAATTATTTGGCCAAATAAAAACAATAAATAAAACATATAAAGTTCATTTATTTGCAGTTAATACCAAATAAAAAAATACTTTTTACGAATTATTTTGTTACCGGTTGTAAAGAGTGATCATTTTTATATAATTTTAAAGTTTGTAAATTTAAAAGACAAAGTGGAAAATTTTAATGCAACCATTCAAATATTTCTTGAAAAATTCGATTTCAAACATGCGACTTTTATTACATGATTAGAGAATCCGAATATGTTGAAAGCAAGGTATATTTATTAAAATAAAGTATGTTTATAATTTAAAATCGTCACTCACTTTATAATTAAAATCTCATTTTATAATTTAAAAAATCGTTTACTCTAATTAGTTGGAATAATTAAAGTTAGGGTCTCTATTTCAGTTAGATTAAGTCATAGTACTCGAAAAACCAAAAGTTATTCAGGGTGCTAACTTTCCAATTTTTCGTGCTATAAATAAAAGAAAACTTAATTATGAACCAAACCAATTTAATTATTCAACCATCATAGTCAGATCATGTAACATTAAGATATTTAGAAACGTGTAAAGCAAAAAGAAAAACGGTTTTTCTATAATTGTTGAATTTCAATTTTTCATATGATAATTATTTATGTTTTTCCCAACTTCAAAATCTAATAAAGATAAATGCATGAAATTCCGGAGTATATATATATTTCTGTTAATATATATATATTTCTGTTAATATATATATACGTAATTTATAATCTAGAAATCAGTCAAAAATTTTTACATTTTGCTTAATAATTATTTTTGAAAAAAATTGTGCAAAGGTAAAATGTGTACTTTCAATTTTCGAAAATTAAAAAAGAAACAAAAAATAAATTCAATACTTTAAAAAAATATTCTTAAAATCAATTAAAATATGAGCATTTGCATTTAAAGCAAAGAAATTACAATTATTTTTATGTTCTATCAAAAATTTTAAAATATTAATTATTTAAAAATTTCAATTATTATAAATATCAATTAATTTTCAATAATAATTAATTTGAATTGAATGTGAATAGATTTTCAATAGCTAAAAACATTTATTAATTTTCTGTTATCATAAACATCAATTAACTTTTTAATTTTCAATAATTGTAATGATGAATTGACTTTTTAATTTTCAGCTATTTTAAACATCAATTAACTTTTTAATTTTGAGTAACTATAAGCACCTGTTTCTACAAATTTTCAAACGTCTCATGGAAGATATGGGGAGTTTTTTTTTGTTGTATTTATTGCATATTTTATGCAAATATCAATATACCCTATCAACCATGGAAGAATGGGTATCCCTGACTAATATAGATCGATTTAAAAGAAGATTAAGTTAATAGGATTTTTGAATTGGTTACTTATAATTGGTTATTATAATTATATTTTTATTATTAAAAAGTTTTTTTTAAAGTTTAAAAACGCATATTAAACGATTTATTATTTTATTTCACGTCCCGCATTTTGAATTTTTTTCATTACTATATGCGAATTTACAATTTCATTTTTTATGAATGTCTTTATTATTAATTATCGGTCTTTATATTAACCAATTTTAAAACAAAAAAAAAAAATTTTTTTTTCAAACAAATATAATAAAAAGGAAAATCATAAAAATTCCAAAAGAAAATTTATTAGCTTTGCCAAAATTTATTAGTACTAAGTCAATGTTGTTGCACTTCATATCATACTTTGAATTTTTGATATGTAGTGGTGAAAAATTAGAATAAAAAATACTGAACAAAAAATAACTTAAATTTTGTTTATACTTTTCTACAAAGCGAAGCAAGTTAGCGTCTTTGTTTCATTCGTATTTTACTTCTAATATTTCATTTATTTATTGTTTAAATGCCAATTTTTATTACATTAACGTGTCTATATTTCGAGAGTATAAAGATTGTCAGGCCCTTTATTCTATTATTAACTTTTATTTTTGATAAGTAAGTCATTCATAATACTGTCAAAAAGCTTACAGAGAATTAATAGAAATTCAAATTTGTTTTTTTATTAACTCCATATGATATTTATTTTCTTTTTAGTTGCCACTTATTAAATTTTGAAACTATAATGCACGGTAGATTAAATTTTAATAATTATATTGTTAATGTATCGTGGTAGTTTTTTCAAAATAAGTCTTAATAATAAAACACATGAGAACTGTTTTTTTTTTTATCTTTGAGTCGAACGATCTATTCTTTTAAAAGTATATTAGTATACTTGACAACAGGATTGCTTCTAATAATTTTTAAAGTGGTAATGAAATTGCAATTAAAATAAGCTTTTATTATTATATTCTACTGGCAATTAAGAGCTTTGTTATCAATCTAATATAATTGTCTAAATTGTTTGTATGAAGTGGTGATCTAAATCCTTGTGAATAAAATTTATTAAATTAAAAATAAAATAACAAAGAATATTTTTTCCTACCTCTTTATTTTTTGAAAACAAACATAAGCTCAGAAGTTTGCATTAAGAACGAAAAGATTAAACTTTTATCAAAGAATTTCAACATGAAATGGTAAAGAATAAAATAAAACAATTTCAACTTACTTTAAAAAAGCGAGAATTTTTTTTTTTCAAATCGGTTTCGATACCAATGACAAATGGAATATTTTTGTAAGTGAAATATTGACAAAGTTTAAGGGGCTGTTAATTTCTGTAAAAGAGAGTCTAAGGTGAAAATACATTTTTTTCTTCTCTTTTGGAACTTACATGTATACTGAAGGTAAAGTTTATGGTAATTTATGTCTGTTCTATGACGTTTCCTTGTAAAACGTGACGAAAAGACACAGAAGTCACTAATTGGTTTAACAAGTTTGCTCATCTGTTATGCCAGATCTATTTTTGCGTAGCATTACTTCAAAGAAGAACAGGTTTTAATCGGTTGTGTGATTGTTACGCTTACCGAGGAAAAACGTCAAGCAAAAATGTGGCGATTATACGACACTATGCAAACTGAATTTTCCTAGCAGTTATACATTTGCATCTAGTAAACAGCCATGGTTTCCCTTAAATTGTTGATATTGTTCACAGTAACCCCATATACTAGCCCCTTGTAGTCATAAGTTCTTTTTGGCTCATTATCTCTTAATTAGGAAATGTATATCAAGAAAGACAATGTGTCTAATGAGCATAATCATTCGAAGCATATATTCTTTTGTTAAAAACAATTAATAAAATTAGTCTTAAATAGCAACAAATTTAAAAATTAAGAAGTTATTTTTCTCCTATAAAAAGCTTGTTTTTTCTTTAAATTTACTTCTTATTAATAAAGAATTTTGTCTCCTAACTACATTTGAAAATGTATCACAGCTATTACAGATAAGTTAAAACTTTCATCTTGACCAACTTATTGAAATAATTAA